GTCTGTGCTCCATGTAAGCCTGGTGTCAGCAGAACTGGGAAGAGAGCAGTTATGTGTGGTTATGAGTAGTCATGCTGGGAACTGAACCCAGGTCCTATGGAAGAGTAGCTAGTGCTCCAAACAGCAGAGCCACCCCTCCAGCCCCCTTTTCCCTCCCTTGTAATTTTATTATGTTAAGGTAGTCAAGATCCTGGATTCCTCCTAATCCTATAAATTACTACTACAGACAGAAGATCTGCCATGGCACTCTCTTCATTCTAAGGATGCTAGTTGAGAATCTTCTCACAGCCATGAGAAGATTACACATTATTCTGACGTGTAAGAGAATCAGAAGGTTAGGGACAAAGGAAAACACCAGATGAAGAAGGAGGTCACAATGCTTAATTTAAGGTCCTTTCCTTCTAATAGAAACAGAAAATGCGAAGTAACATACTTTTGAAGGAGAATCAGCTTCCCTCCCTTTTCCGATTTGTGGCATCCAGTCAATTATCCAACTGCAGAGAAGTGACGAAGTGACAGTTCTCAAATGGTTATTTATAAGCATTTGCCCACGTTCTCAGAGTGCTTAACTTCCTCAGCTCTTTAAACCATATAAGACCGGAAACTGGATTTTCTTATTCTGTATGCTCATACAGTAGGAATATACTACTTTTTAAATATTTTAACATTCAGAAACTCCAATAAGCTGAACTGAAGAATGAGCAGTTGGGCAGATCTGGCAATGGTGCAGACCTTGCCGTCTCCAATTCATGGCAATGTGAATCTCTTTGTTGGAACTCAGAGTCAGCGATATTTAAATGTAAATGTACGGGGAGATTTTTTTCATCTGTACTGCTCTCAAAAATTGAATCACTCGTGCATTTTGAATTGATCTAGTAGCTCAAGAATGCCTGAAATTCTAATCACTGCCCCTTTCCAGGGTCCTTCGAATCCTCATGCACCTTATTCTGCTTCTCTGGAGAAAAGCATTTTCTTCTCAGGTGTGACCTTACCTGCACACTGTGCCTAGGGCTGCAGAGACAGGCCCTCACATGCTCAGAGAGTTCATTCTACTCAGTACAAAATGGTGTAATCACAAGAACTATCGAAGATGCTTGTGTATTTACACAGACACAGCCTTTTCCTAGCAATGGAAAGCAATGTATGACTTTGGCCATCTCTCTGCAGTCCTTTAGAATATAGTGCTTACAAACATAATGATCTAGCCCACAATCCAAGGGCTTGTAGCCAAATGATTGATAGACTCAGATTTCAGCCCTGTTTGGCAGCACAGGTACACAGGGCATCGGAAGGAGTGTGGCAGACAGTGAGTTTCAGGGGTGTGGAGGCAGCTCACACATGTGATCCAGGGCCTGTGGTGTTATTTTTCAGCAGAAGCGTTCCCCAGGAAAAGCAGCTTCCTTCAATCCAGTCCAGTCCAGGGAGGACTAAGCATCACTCCGGTTAGGAGAACAGGAAGCTACCACACATCTGTACATGAAAACTTATTCTACTGTGTATCCCAAGTTAGTATGTTTAGGACTTGGGTTTCAACATGACTTATTTAGGCTTAGTACTTAGCTAAATGCTTACTTAAGCAGTCAGTTGATGTCATGGCAACTAAATCAGAAACTAGTTGGAGTTTTATGTATGCAGCAGCTGTTCTTCGATAGCCAGTAGCAAGACTATGAAAGCACAGGACCATTCCCACACATTATTTTATTTTGTTTTATTCATCGACAAATCCAACTTGAACTAAATACTTGGAAAGAAAGTCATGGCATAATATGGCTTTCTCCCTTCAGGCAATATACTAATGATGTGTTATTTATGAAATTCGACATAATGAAAAAATCATTCCAGTCATTAAAAAAAAAACTCCAGAGGAAGATAACAGATTTGCTGGGGTGGGTCAGGGAGGGGGCTCCTGAGGCCTTATCCCCAGGTATGAATGAGGCATCTCAGCTGATGATGGCAGAGTGGGAACCACACTCTGGTCGGCTTGCTTCTGAGTCTGCATTCTTAAATCCTCTGGCGGAAGTAGATTGAGATTGACAAGGAAGATGTGGAGAGTCAAATGAGGCAGCAAAGCAGGGAGGCTGTGAAAACAGAGCCCTCTTGAACTATCTTAAAGGAGATGACTTGCAGAGGGACCCAGCTGTCAGTCATTGGGAATTTGAAAGTCACTTATGAGAATCAGCTGATCAGAAAGTCAGTCTATGTTCTTGAGCACCAGGGAATGCAATTTAAGAAAAAATATTCTAGCAACCTAAGCTATAAGAAAAGGCTAACTTGACTACATTTTAAGATACAAATGACTTTTAAGACTATTTGGCATTACAAAGTTAAGCATTTCACATACTCAATGGCTCAGCATTTCCACATACAGTGTAAATCCTGGAGAAATTCTTGCACATAGATATCAGCAGATACACACAGTGAATTCATAGCAGTGAAATGTTCTAAACAAAATTAAATAGTTTTGAGCAGGCAAATGGAAGATAAGGTGTAGTATAGTCATACAATGAAATATTACACAGCAGTGAAAAATGAGTGGACTATAAATAGCATGGAGTTGATAAAGCAAAACCAGAAAGATTCATATAACATGAACATTTTATAAACCACTTGAACAAATAAAACAGCAGTCCATTATTTCAATATATATGCATTTTATCATATATGCATGTACAGCTTCTGCTAGAATCTTTGGTAATGGATACAGTTTGAAGTAGCTTGCTCTACTGATAGATGGGATTGCTAGAAATGTTTCTTGCAGAGAATCTAAGTGGTTGTAAAAACTGGTTCTGTTTGAGGACATTAAAGGTCCAGCTTATTCCAAGTCCCAGGAGACATGTCTTCACCACTGATGTGAAATATTAAGCTCCAAAAACTTATCTTTTTGAAGGATATTGTTTCCCAGTCTTCATGGCATGATTTTCAGTCTGTCTCCTTGTCAATACGTTCTCTCTTAGTAGTCTCCAGAACAATAAATTAGAGCAGAGTCCCCAGAAATGATCTCAAAACTGCAGGTGGGACTTGACCAGTGCAGAGCAGACAGAGCTTACCCAACTTGATTTTAATGTGGTCAATAATTTTTAATTTGTCATTTGGAAAGAGGGTGACTTTGAAAGTATGGCATGAGTAGCAGGATTGAGGATTAAGGGCAGGAAAATGGGACTTCCTCTTTCTGGGTGGATTTCTCTGTGATGACACAGACTTGGATCTTAAGGTCCCCCAAGTCCCAAGACAGCAAAGCTGATTTACCAACCCTTGGTGCTGTGAGAAGGTGGCAGAACCCGAAGGAGGTGAGATCTAGTAAAAGGGAGCTAGGTCATCATCAAGCGCATCATCATCAAGCGCTTGCTTCCCAGGAGCTCTGTTTACATCACTCTCGCCATCACCTGCCAGTACCCCACCTGCAGACCAAGAAGTATGAAGAAACCAAAAGTGTGCAGCTAGAGAGACTGTTTCAGCACTACAGCATTCACGTTCTTACCCCCAAAGAACACTGCCTCAAATATGCAAACCAGCAGTGAGTTACAGGCCCTCCTCTAAACAACCAACCAGAAAACAAAATTTGCCACAGTGATTTAACTACATTATTGAGTTTAAAATCAATTTTTAAAAGACTGACAATCCAGTGCAAGGATAGAAAATGAATTCATCTGGTAGGTTCACAGAGAAAGAAACACAAATTGCAGATATATGTGTTTCAAGACAGTCAATGGGACTCAGAGTTTGGGACACACTAAAACAACAAGTAATCTTTCACTAATCAAACTAGGGGGTAGGTATCAGAAAAAACAGTAAGAGAATAGGGATAATAGACATGCTGACAGTGAATGAAAATAAGTTAATTCTTTGGGGTGGAAATGTACCTGCCTGCAAGTCAAGGACTGGGAATTGAGCAATAATTACTTATATTTGAATAAATACACTTATCTAATCCAATCCAGCAATTCCACTGTTAGGAGTGCACACCACAAGTTTATGTTGCAGTACATAAATCCTGTGACAGCACTGCTCACATCAGCCAGGACTGTTTGTCCTTAAGAGATTATTAAATAGAGTACACCCACACCAGGCAGCCTCCTGCAGCAGCTACAGGAAAGACCCATGACTTGTAATATCAAGCAGCCAAGGTAGAGTGCACGGCAGACTGTAATGCCATTCTGCTCATAGAAGAACAACACCTGTGAGGTCGCTTACGTGTATAAGTGTGTTGTACATATATGTGTGTGAGTGTGTGTGTGTGTACCTGTGTATGTATATGTGCTTATGTGTGAGTGGGGGTGTGTAAATGTGTATGCATTTGTGTATATTGTGTATGTGTGTGTTTGAATACATATATGTGAATATGTGTACGTGTGTGTGTATATATATGTGTGTGTGTGTGCATGTGTATATATGTGTGTACATTTATGTATATGTGCATCAATTCATACTGTACCAATTATACATATTATGTATGTACATAAGTTTATAGAAACAAAATGGCTAGAAGGATACAGCAACCTGAAGGATAGAGTACAAAAGGGATTTTTATATCTAACCTCCTTGATATTAACATTACTCAGGGACAGATCAAGATTAGAAGTCAATGTCTGAAACATTACAAAACTCAGTGAGATTACTTGAAGCAGTTCTTTCGTTTTAGGCATTATGCTGAGCACTGCATAACTTTATTAAAGTAACTCATATATTAAAGCACATGGAAGGATGTAAAGATGGCATATCGGTTAAGAGCACTTGTTCTTACAGGATCTGGGTTTGGTTCCCAGCACGCACATAGCAGCTTACAACTATCTGTAATTCTAGTTTTAGGAACCTGACACCTTCTGACCTCTGTGGGCACCAGGCATGCATGTGGTATACACATACACACACACACACACACACACACACACACACACACACACACACGCAAAATAAAACTGTATAAGTAAATAAATCTAAATTTTCTTAAGCTAAAACATACATGAACTAGATTTTAAATGCCCATCTTTACATTGAAAGTATGTTACAGATCCACAGGCCCCCTGATGCCATGCAGCTCAGGCAGGCAAAAGACACCCATGGGGCAGCCTGGGTCCTCACAGTCCAGGCTGCCTGAAGCATCCACATGCCTACCTGGTGGCACAAGGTGCCAGGCGGTCAGCTGCCAGTAGGATGCGCAAGTATATGGTGGTGAAACAGGAGAGAAGGAGCGGTGGAATGGTTCATGTGCTGTGGTAAGAGGCAGTTCTGAAGCAGCAAGGGCTGTGAGGGATGGGCTGATGTTGGCGGCCTGCTTGCCACCCGGGACCAGGGTGACATGGGGCCTGAGCTGCTGCCTATGGACATATCTGAATCTGTGTTGATGTCCATAGCCTACGTTGCCACCAAGGCCATGGGAATGCCCAGGGTGTGGACCACTACCTGTGGCCATTTTGGTGTCCAAGGGCCATGCCACTGCAGGGGCCATGTTGATCTGAGAGGCCTGTGCTGCTACAAGGCGCTGGGGCGGGCGGCATGATGACATCTGGGCCTGGGCCTGGGCTGCTGTGGGGGCCATCTCTGGGTCTATGACCTTGTAGCAACTAGGGTCCTTGTTGATGTTCATGGCTTTAGTAGCCAATGAAGGCTGTGCAGATGACCAGGGTCTGCTGTAGCCGAGGCCATGCAGATCTGAGTGGCCTGTACTGTCACCTGGGGCCATGGTGTCAGCCCAGCCAGGGTTGCTCCTGGGGGCTATGTCTGGTTCCATGGCTCTACAGCAGCCAGGATCTGAGTTGATGTCCACGGCTCCTGATGCCATCAAATGCCATGCTGATGCCAAGGGTCTGGGCCACCACATGGGGCCATGTTGCTGTCCAAGGGCCACTCTGCCATTGGGACCATGCTGATCTGTGTGTTCTGCACTTTCACCTGGAGCCATGGTGACATCCGAGCCCAGGCTGCTGCCGGGGACCATGTCAGTAAATACTGAGCTCTTAACCAGGCAGCTGTGTCAAAACGGATTAGGTTTGGAGAACACCAGTCCTTGTCCAGAACTAATGGCTTCCTTGGTGTGGAGAAAACATACATCCAACATGCAACCACAGACTTGTTAGGTTCTAAAAAAATAAATAAATAAAACGTTTTAAAAAGGCTTTTTAAAACACAGTACCTAACACATTCTCACCAAAGCCACATTAAATCAAAATAGGAAAGAAAGGGAGTATGGAAGACAGAGAGGAAGAGGAAGAAGAAAAGAAGAAGGAAGCAAAATATATTTACACTATTTCATTTTTTTGAGATTATGTTTTAATTACAAGTATAAAACTGCATATACTGTACACAACACATTTTCAACATTTCTATTATTTAGTTTGTTTGTGTCACTGGTCAAGCTACTTGTTTCCCCCTTGCCTCTCCTCTCTTCAAAACTTCCCACATATCCCTCCCTGCTCGCCTTCAAATTCATGGCCACTTTTCCAATTAATTGTAATTGCAGGGATATGCATATTTACATACACATATATTCCTAAATAAAACCTGCTCAGTCCATATAATGTTTCTCATATGTGTGTCATGAGGGTTGCCCATTTGGCACTGGACAACCAGTTGGATGCTCTTCCGTGGGGAGCACCAGTTCTCCTGCTCCCAGCTGTCCTCAGTTGCCTTCCTTGGGGAGCACCAGCTCTCCTGCTCCCAGCTGCCCTCAGTTGCCTTCCTTGGGGAGCACCATCTCTCCTGCTCCCAGCTGCCCTCAGTTGCCTGTAGTTCTGTAGGGCTGAGCTTTGTAGGCTTTTCCCTGTCCTGTTTGGCATTCATTTTAAATTTCTTTAAAATATCTCCATGTAGACATTTATATATTTTTTTATGAAAACCTTTGAAGAGCTCTCAAGAGTACTTAAATTCAAATCTAACAGAAAAATCAAAGCCTGGGAAAATAATAAATTAAGACAGATTATTAAGACTGAAAGAAAGTTAGAGTTGCATTTGTGTTCTATGTGTCACAGAAATTGATGGAAAACTTTGTCTCCAATCATCTGGAAATCTTGTAATAATACTTGTGCCACAAAGGCAGATAGAAGAATTCAAAGGCATTTAAAATGTTTCTCGCAGGCTTTAAATCAGAGGACAAGCCAGAATCTAGAAGACAATAGTTTTAGGAGCCCCCTTAGTATAAACACATTGAGTCTTTTTGAAGTTTTTTAAAGTTTTGTAGACTCTCAAAAATGTAACTCAAAGTCAAACTGTCAACCATAATTAATGAAAAATTCTTCTGAGGGAATAATACAGGCATAACAACTATGGTTGTAAGCAAAATGGGTCCATCAGTTCTCTCCAACTTGAATCATCCTACTAACATTTTACTGGAGATCTATAGGCGCTTTGCCCCAATTTCCTTGAGGTATAATTGACAAAAACTGTATATATTTAAGATTTATAAAATGTTAAATTGGTGTGTGTATAGACTATGCAATGATGACCATGATCAAGTTAATTAGTACTCTTCTCAGCTGACATAGTTACCACATTTGGGGCATTGGTGGTGGGAATACCAAGAGCTATGTTTGTCTCTAGGCTTCCACGGAGGAATGGTTTCAGGACTCCATCCTGAAAGATGATGCTCAAGTTCCTCACATGCACTGGCAGAATGTTTGCAAATAGCTCAACCATACAGCTTAGACCATGCTCCTAAGCCATCCCTAGGTTTCTCCTTCCCCATAATGCATCATCAATGCTATCTAAGGAGTTGTCTTACTGCAGTCACTAGTGATGAACTATCTGTGAACCTTTGGGTTTTTTTTTTCAAATACTTTTAGTCTAGTCAATTGAATCTATAGATGTAAAAACTGTAAATTTAAAGGTCTGGCTATATTCTCCCATCAAAATTTAAGGCTACAATAGAGTAGAGAAATATAGTCCCCATGCTGTACATTAGATTCCCAAGTAACTGTATTTTGGCTGACCTAGTGGGTGTCTTCATGACTATTCACAGCAAGAAAATCCTTCAAAGAAGGAATCTCATACAAGCCCTTACAAACAAATGCCCAAAAGCCTTTGGGACAATGAACTCTATAGTCTTCAAAATACGATGACCAGAGATCCCAACTTCTATCTCAAAACAACTGCCAGGGCTACCCAGAAGACACAACTGACTTGGTCATATGACTTTTCATCCCTGAAGAATGTTTGAAGCATCCCTCATCTTGCACCAGAGAAGCTTCTCTTTATAGTAGATGGCAATTGACACATACCTTGTCAAGATGCAGAGAACAGAAGACTGCAGAATTCCCAGCCCTAAATGGGACATGTCTCACATTCTCTCCTCTCAAGGCTCAGGGATCACTGAGGAAGAGAAGACATAAAGGGTGTAAGAACCAGAGGGGGCAGATGACTACAAGAAAATATTATGTGTTTTCTGGACATACTAGTGTAGTTAGACACATGAATTCACAGAGATTGTGAGGGTGTGAACGCCACCAGTGCAAGCCAGAAAAATCCCAACATTCAAGAAGAATTAAGCAGTAATTCCCATCCCTAGGTGAGGAGCTATGGGTAACTGATGGGTGCTGAAAGAGGAAGAGTCGGTTCTCTCTGAAGGGTGTAGCCCCAGAGAGGTCAACCATGCTCTAGTGAATGGCCACACACCCAGGAGAATGCGGGCAGCACAGATTGGACTTGATGGGTTTCAGAGAAGAGAATGCACAGTTAGAATGCGGGTTTAAAGCTGGGAGGAGCTGGTGGGGGACACTGAATGTGATCAAAATTATATAAGATCTTCAGAGAACTATTTAAAAAAAAAAAAAGAATGTTGCCAAGCTGTTTCCTCATTATAATTTCATCAGTAGGAACAGCATCTTTGTGGCTACCTACACAAGGCATTCTTAAGCAGAATTGTATTTATTTGGTGAACTCCAACTTTGTCTTATTCTTGGGAATTCCAGAATATGAGCATTTCTGTTGGGACTATTGTCTTTCTGAATGGTAAATAAACTTCTACACTTAGTGTATATGTTTTAATTTCACATACTAAACCTTATCTTCTCTCTCCTTCAGTACAATCCTTTCTTTTTTACAAATATCACTCAATATTTTCCAACATTTAACACTGTTTTTCTAAATATTTTAGCACTCTACAAAATGAAAGGCACATATGTATTTCTACCACATTCTTTTCTACTGATCTCCTCTTGAGACCCATAAATAATAAATATATATTTCCAAGTTCACTGTGGTTAGTCTACTTTATGTAATTAATTTAACTTTTACCCAAATTTAAGTATAAGATTTTGTAATTTAGAATCATGGTTAGTATTGCTACACCTCTTACGTTCCAAGGGTAAAATGAAATTTCCTCGAACTCTATAGAAATTAAATATCGTATAATGCTTGTTTCTGGACAATATGAGAGATTCCGTCCTTGGCAATCATGTCAGTAGAGGAGCATTCACACGGGTATCTTCCATGCTGAGGTGTTGTTCAGACCGGGGCCACTCTCAAAGGCTGTAAAGAACACCACCTGTCCCAACTACTCATTTTTGTAAATTTTGTATATTGAGTACAGTATTTGCTTTTAAGAACATGTTATTATATCTTTGGTGACATTTTTAATGTCTTTTAAAATGTTTTATGATTATAATGTAACTACATTTCTCCCTTCCCTGCCTTCCTTCAAAATGTTTTTATATACCCCTCTCTACTGGCCTTCAAATTCATTGGCTCATTTTTCAATAATTGTTATTTTGTACCTAAAAGTATTTGTATATACACGTATATTCCTGTAATATAACATGTTCATTTCATCTAATGTTTTTTGTATGTGTGCTGACCAATTGGCACTGGACAATCAATTGTTGCGCTCTTCCTTGGGGAAGGCTGCCTCCCCTGCTCCCAGCTTCCTCGGTTGCCTACAGTTCTTTGTGTTGGGTTGATGCCTCATGGACTTTTCTCCATCCAATTTGGCATGTGTATTGGTGTCATCATTGTTCAGCTCATGTTTGGACAGTCATTTTAGTGAGGCTTTATGAGTGTAGCTCCGGATATTACTAGGATATACAATATCACTGCAAATTCCCTGATCCTCTGGCTCTTATGACCTTTTTGTTGCCTCTTCTGCAGTGTTCTCTGAGCCTTAGGTGCAGGAGTATTTTGCAGATGTGTCCATTGGGACCAGGCTCCACAATGCTGCATATTGATTGGTTGTGGTTTTCTGAAGTAGTCTCTGTCTGTTGCAAAGAGAACTTTCTTTGGTCAGGGATGAAGACTATATTTACCTGTGGATACAAGGACACATTTTTATAAGTTGTTGTTTGGAATTATGCTGGTTTAGTACATGAGTGTTTGTAGATTCTCCTCCAATAACCACGACTTGACTAGTACTGAGTAGTTAACTAGGTTTCCAGTACCAGGCATGGTCTCTCTGTTGTTAAGTAGGTCTTAAGTCCAATTAGAGAGCTGTCAGTTACTGCCAAGGTGCACATGCCACTACTGTCCCTTTAGGTTTTCATGTCATGCTGTTTGTTGACATGCTCATAGGAGTCATAGCTGGGTGGGACTGTTACTTTCCTCCATGCTTTGGAAGCTTGTATAGGACCTTCTGGTACCATGAAATCTAGTCCTCAGGGAGGAAACATTCAGGTCAGTTGCAGCTCAGGAGTCTTTGGGTTCTCTTTCTGAAGTCTATGACATCTTCAGCGATAGAAATTTACCTTCCACCTCCAGGGAACAACTAAGGGCAACAGCAGTAGTCAGGAGTCACTTGGACAGCCCTGGCCAAGAACTCAAAAGAGGGCTTCTTGTGTATGGTATTTGGGGTTTTGTTAGGTCATCTTTGGCTCTTAGAGGGAGCATTCAGTGGCACTTATACCTAATAGCATCTTAGATTCCTGGAAATGAAATTGTATTTCTTTAGAAACAAAAGTCAATAGAGTAAGTTGCATAGTAAATAAAGCTTCTCCTGGTGCAGGGGAACTAAAGCATAGCATCAGAGATAGAGAGAAGCAAGGGAGGCAATGGAAGGAAGGAAAAGGAAAGAAAGGAGGAAAAGTGGGAATGGTCAGTAAAAACTTTACGATGGAGGGCTATATTTCCATACCGTCCAAAATTTTAATAATTCATAATAACGTTTTTAAAGTGCCAAAGGGAAGCCGGGGAACAGCCTTGGTTTGCACATGTGATTGGTATTCTAACCTGTAGAATATCTACATAGATTATTCTTTCTTCAGATTTACTGAGATAAAATTGGGAAAGCACACTGTGTAAGTTTAAGGTGTACTGTAGATTCTTGATATAATTTTAAGACACAGGGCTGTGCTGGCATTGGTAACTGCAGATTCTTCTCAAGCTCATAACGTTTAATTTTGTCTGGACTAGAGACTCAAAGATTTGTTCCAAGTCCTGTGATTACTAGGAACTAACTCACCAGGTAGTAAAGAATGCAGCAGTAGCTAATCAAGAGGTATTATAAGATCTGTTTGCCCTACAAGTAAAATGCAGATATAGGAAACTAAGAATTACTTAGAGCAGAAGTTATCATTAAGTTTTAATAGGTTGCCCAATAAATTATATGGTTCAAGAGATGAGGAATACCTCCTTAAAAAAATAAAAAGACAGTAAATCTTAAAATCTGAACCATCCAAATGGGATGTTACAGGTAAAATTTGACAAGGAAGACATCTTTACAAAGATATTGAAAACTTCTATTGAAAAGAAATGTTCACTAGGAATTGTATACATGAGCGTTTAAACGTATATTTGTATGTGTAGTAGGTGCATTGATAATATTTAAAAATTATACACAATTACATAGCTAGAACAGCCTATGAAAATGTGTCATCTTAACATTATGGTAATGCCTATTTGGCTAAATCCCTGAATGGAGAATGAGACAACTAAAACTGATATTTAACTTGGAACTCTATTTTTGTCTCACAATATAAGTCTTAGAGGAAAACTGCCATTTCAATCTAAATATAATCAAAATAAATATTTATTAAACATTCACCAAACATTAGACACAATGCTTAGCATTTTATGTATATAACTTATAAAAGTCACACAGCCCTTCCAAGTAGATACTTTATTATTCCTATATCATAGATAATGAAATGATATTTCATTTGTTAAGCAAAAAAGTAGCATGACTGTTTCCAAGCCAAAGGGTCCATATATCAACCACTATTAAAGGCAGAGCATTCCTGCCTGGCCAGCTCCCTAAGCACACCCCCAGCTTGCTTTTTGCAAGTTTCCAAGTAGATAGAAAACTATTTCACCCCCCAAAAATGGGCCTCAGATTTGCTCATTTACAGCTCCTTTGTGTTCTAAAAAGGGAGGCTAATCTGACACTAATCCCAAAAGTAGAACTTTTTTTCTCTGCTGGATTTAATTCCAAAGATATAATAGCTAACTTGATTAAACATCTCGGTGGCCTAACATGCTGCAACTTGGAATGCCACACTGCTACAGTTCTTAATTCTGCTGTGAGCAACTTTCCCTTTCAGGTTCAACTGCATTACCGATTAAACACTCCACACAAAGGCAGGTGACTCTACAGGGAGACACCCAATTATGTAGTTTCCAACTAGTAATTATCTAAAATTAATTGCTGCTCTATGGATTTTGATCATACCAAACAATATTTACAACTACTTCCATTCCAAGGACCCTCTTTCTTTGCTTAGGCATCCTAGATATCAGTTCAGGCATGCCTTTTCCTGTCTATGAAATGTGTGACTTACAGTACAGTTAAACAAAGTTTCATTAACTCCAAAGGGAGTTATGTGAACAAAAAATATATGCAACCGTGTGAAAAAAAATAACATAGGGAAGCCCAAGGGTGCTTATGAAAAAGGCATCAGCCTTTTCTGTGTCCACTTAGGTCAACATCTATGGCTTCCATTACAAAGTCTACTGCTCCTATTGGTATAACTGCATCAAAAAAAAAAATCAAGTGCTCCTTTTCCATGCTTTCTTCAATCCCCCATCTCCTGTCTGCCATCAAAAGATAAGAGATCTAAGATCCTGTCCATTTAAACAATGAGTCAAGTCAGCCATTTCTCAAGTCTCTCAGGATTGTGGTTTTTCCTGTGTTCTCTTTTCCCACTAAAATAGACTTTTGAAAGTGAAGACTGGAGCTGATTATCAAAGAGCCTTTGTAGTTATTAAGCACAGGAAATTTGTGTCTCCGATGTCTATCACATATTTAATAAGAAAATATAATTACTGCAAAATGGTTCTCTGTTTGAAACCAATGGCCATTTCTATCACATATCTTTTTGAAATAATGATTTATGATAAAAGACCCTCAAAAGTGTTTACCAAATACTTACTGGTGATAGAACACAAGGATAAGGGTACAATGAAATGA